TTTCTCCCCGATCTCTCAAGTCTGTTCACTCCAAAACACACAGTCTTTTTTTTTTTCTTTTTTTCTGCTAGCATGTCATAGTGTCATCGTCTTAATAGCAGCTGAGTAGTGAACAAGGGCTCCCGCAAAAGGAGTTCACCTCCTCACGTTGGAAGCGAACTATTTTACGGAAAGACTGGGGAATTTGAGCGCTGCCAGTGCGAGGGAGAGCGCAGAGCGGAGGCTCCTCTGGATTTCAACCCACTAACATTTTAACAGACAGGCAGGCGTCAATGGCTTTCCATACCGCGAGTGTGAAGGAAGTTGGGAGGAGGCGGGGGGTGGGGGTAAACCCCAGCCCAGCCTCGCAGATGGATCACACACGCCGCTCTCTATGTTGCAGCGTGGGTCAAAATAATAGGAGGCAGGAGGGGAAAGATCCAGAGGGAACCAGCCACTGTCTCTTGTACAGATTTGTAGAGAAGCCTTCGCTGTAATTAAAACCTTACAGCCAGATTCATTCAATGTGTGGCTCTGCAGAGGGTCGGGGATTGGGGGGTTTGTTTGGTTAATATTTCGTCATGTTATTGTCGTTGGTTGTTTTCCCTGATGGGGTGTGTATGTATGGGGGTTGTATGTGTGGATATAACTGCTTGAAAAGGGAGTGGCTGTCCGACTGGTGGACGGGACCCCCGCGGGGGGCCTGTCCGCTCGTCTCTCCCTGCATCTGGCCAGGTGTGCATCCACACCGTCTTCACCGAAACCCCGGGAACAGGTCTCTCCCTCCCTGTCCACACAGCGAGCCTGGCCCCGGCAGGCGGGATCCCGGGGAAGAGTCTGAGAGGGTGGGTTTGCCTCCTGCGCCCCTCCGCCCGGCGCCTTGCTTGGGAGCGGTGCGGGAAGGCGTTCCCCGCCGTGGCTCCGGGGAACCTTCCCGCACGCAGCCTTGGTTCGCAGACCGCTCTCCGCCTGTGACTGAGGCTTTTCCTTGGCAGGCGTCCTCGCTTGCTCGGGTGCTGCTGAAACAGAGATGTTGGTTTTAGCGGGGACTTCTGTTGTTTTGTTTTCTTTTCAAATGAAAGAAAAAACAACAACAATTAAAAAAAAAGCAAACAACCTTCTCCTGGCAGGAGAAGAAGACGCCATCCAATTAAAAGAAATAACATAGCAAAACCACCGCTCTTAAGTGCCCATCTTGGAAGGGCTCAGAGGCGAATGGGAACTCGAGGCTCTTTTAAGGCAGCGGAGAAGCTGCAATTTCTCCTGCGGTAGCAGCCGGTTTCTCCCCCGAGCCCAGAGTCCCGCCGAGCCCTCGCCAGCCCAGGCACGACGGGTCCCCCCCTCCCCACGGCCACTCGCATCCTGTCCCAGTGACAGCCACGGGTGTCACCCCGGCTGCGTCCGGCAGGATTCCTGCGGGCGAAAGCAGAAGCTTTAATTGCGGCAAACGAGCGCGATGTCCTTTCATTTCAGCCTGTTTCGCCTCCGTTTATTTTTAGCACACTTGAAATGCCTACACATTTCCCTTGTTGAGATCAGTGCAATTATTTACTCTACCTTTAGGGATGCATTTACCCGAGTATTGAATGAAATGTAGTAAACAGTGCGCAAAGTTAATGTAGTTATTGAGGTTTATTTAATAGGAAAAGAGTAAGTATCTCGGCTTTACTTGTTTCTTCAGACAGCCTCGTTATCTAGAGAAGGTTGCAAGGAGAGTTCTTCACTCGTTCCCGTGTAATGAGATTGCTTTATATATATTTATCTCGTATCTGTATCTTAGCTACAGCCTCTTTTGTCAGGGTCTCAACGGACTACAAAAACAAGTCTAAAAGTTAATTTAGAAAGGTAATCCGGAGGGATCCATTATCTGATCTCGCTATAGAAACTCAGTTAGGCGAGGTCCCGCATCTGAGGACGTAAAAAGAAACAGACAAAACGAGCATCGCCTCCAGCAACGTGAATTCTCCCTGCATTCATCGTTCCGAGCGGGAACGCTCTTGACACCGAGCGCGATTTCACTGGCGGATCGAAACTGCTTTGCCCTATTAACTGGTCCCAGCCTCACCACGACGCTATCCTCCACCCCGCCAGGGATAATTTTTACTTTTCGCGAGTGGAGATCGTCGCCTTTCTCCACCTGTTTGCCCTGACCCCTCTCCCTCCCCCCGAGCATCCTTCGCTGGGAATAAATGCAGGAGAAAGGGACGGAGTGGGGGAGGTGGTAAGAACACATTAGATATCTGCAGCACGAGACGCGGGAGGTATCCCGGGATTCTGACAGCTGGATCTGAAACAAATCAGATCTGGATTAACTTGCCTCTTTTGCGAATTGTCTGTATTTGAGCAAGCAGCCCTCACCCACTCCGCTTCTGGCAGGTTTTGTTACACGTGCCTCTATAAATACATTATCCCAACCCTCCTTCCTGGTTGGAACTCTCTCTTCAGCAAAACAGAAACCAGAACGAGGAAAAGCGATTTTCTTTTTAAAATGAAGACATTTATAAGTAACCTAATTTCTTATCGTGGAAGTAAATTTCATGCTAGGATATATTTTGAACAACATGTAATCTTTTAGAGCCGGAAGACATGTAATTAAAGCCATATTCAGAGAAATACATCTTAAAAGCAGTCATACGACCACATACCTCATTCATATTCAGGATCTCTCCGCGAATTCATATTGTTTTAATGTGGGACATCGCCTTTACGGCGTAACTGCGAGGCCTCGGCAGCACGAGAGTAACACAAAGGAGGGCAGACAAAGAGCAGCACGGGGTGCTTTGCCGGGCAGAGAGGTGTCTGTTTAACCTATAGACCACCGCTTTCTGCTTCCCAGCTTCCCATTTTCCATAGCAGGAACTCCATAGCTGGGGGCTGGGGGGAGAGGGATAAGCTCACCGAGGACGGGCCAGGGTGAAGCATCCCGAGCCGGGTGCCCGGTTTCATTTCCTTACGCTGCTGCCCAATTCATGTCGCCTAGGGAAACACGTGCGTGGGGACAAGGGTCGGTCCCGTCCTGTGCAATGCCCCCGGGAGAAGGTCGGGGGTCCCTGGGCAGCCCTATTTCCTAGCACTTCGGGCTGGTCTGGGAGCGGGCACGCAGCCCCACGCACTCCGCGGCTGAAGGGGGGTCTGCGGGGATGGCTCCCTGCTGGTGCCCTCAAGGCCGTCTGTGAACTTTTGGTCGCACCCGTGTCGATTGAACGCAGATCACACTTTCTGATCTAGTTTTTGCTCCAGCTCCTGCTCGGCTGTTTGATTACTCAGCTGAAGATCAGTGTCCCTGGGGGCGGGAACAGCCCAGCCCCGAGCGGAACTCGCCGTTCCACGCTGTGCGGGTGCGGGTGCGGGTGCCGCCGGCGGGGCACCCGCGCTTTCCTTGAAATAACTCGTTAAAACTGCCCTGAACTCGGTGCGCGCAGAGTGGCTCCCCTAGCACTAATTCTCCCTTTGGTAACTTCTGCCCAAGAGGCTCCTTGCTCCCTCCATCCAGCCTTTTCCCAGCCGTCCCGGCACCGCCGGTTTTCGGGGAGCCGGGGAACTCGTGCACTCCGGGTTCCTGTCAGCCAGCGCTTCTGCTTTCTTCTCGAAAGGGATGGCAAAATAACTTCCGAAGGCGCGGGGAAAAGTGAGGCGAAATAAACCGAAACCAATTTTTTCCCCCAACACAAAGAACCCCCCCGTCCATCCCGAAGCAAAATAAACCCGCAGCAAAACCACCTCCCTACCCCCGAGCAGGTCGCCCTGCCTCGCGTCGGGGCTGCTTCGCTTCAGAGGGGGTAAAATTCAGCGGCCAAATTAAATTAGAAAGGTTCTGGTTAGTTTCCTTGTAGCGGTAATTAAAAGTATTAATTGGTTGTGTCGACAGCTTAAAAAGACAGGTGTTGCTAAAAAAGCCTCATTAATCTTCCAGTCATTACTTAGCTGCGGTGGGAACCGAACTGGGAGAAGGAGCGGATTGTTTACAAGGGTCTTTCAAGGTTTAAGAATGGAGATTATAATAATACCACTACTAATCGGACGACTTTCTCCATTCCTTTGAAAAATGAAAATAAATCAAATGGTCTGCCTGCAGCTCTCGGCTAGAATAGGGCAACAAGTCTTCCATGGACTTCGCCGCCTTTAATATAAACTTTAAAGGCTTTGCTTAGTTTTATATGCATATATACGCATGAAAAATGAGGAAAAAGATTCATGCTTTGTGTCCTTGGACTTTTTTTTTTTTTTTTCCGTCGGGTGGCCTGTGGCCCGTGGATAAAAAAAAGTTTTAGACAAGTTGTGAGGTCACCGATGTAAATTTCAAAGGCTCCCGCTAAACCGGGTCGGGCCGGGTTGTGCTGCCCCGTCCACAGCGTCGTCAGTGCTATGGTAGCCCATGTGTGTGAGGAACAGGAAAGGAGGGAAATCAGGCCCCTCAGCATGAGCCTCAACTCCAGGTTCTTTAAAGGGTGCTTTTGGGATGTTTTGGTTTGTTTCGGAAAGGTTGCTTGGCCGTGCCCGGTGAGCAGAGCACCGGGAGTGCCCGGTGAGCCTCCCCGAGGGCAGCAGGGCTGCGGCGGCCCCAGCGGGCTGCCCGCATCACTGTGCGTACGTCGGGGGCACGGGCAGTCGCACGGGAGCCCCCGGCAGCCCCGAGAG